CTGTGACTCATTGCAGATTTTAGGAAGTAGAAGGAAATAAAACTGGGAGTCCGGAGATGTGTTGAGCACTAAGCTACAGTCGCCTTTTGAGGAGTCAGTTTCAGCACTATCGCCGTTGTCATCACTGGAGTGCTGGCATCAGAGCAATCACATTGAAGTTGTACAAAGCTAACCACAAACAATGTCAGATTTTTATTTGCAGATCAAGATGTGTAGCATTTTTAACTTTGCAGCATAAAAAGCTCTTACTGCCTTCTTTTAGAGATTTGATGCATTCCTGATATTCAGCAGGATGCTGATATTTGGTAGGAAAGTAATGCTATGATACAGAAAATTAAAGGCTAGGACAGTTCCTTCTGTCTCATATGGCACATGGCTAGATTGTGTGTGTTTTGGAAATACAGCCAAATCTCTTGATAGCATGAACACTTTAGCATACACCAAACATAACCCAGCTCTGCAGCAGACAAAATAAAAAATACTGCTGATTTTCACAATTCTGTTCCTTTTTTTTTTTCCAATAAATGTTCTTCTCAATAGAGCAAAAGTGATTGTACTATAGATACTCATGCATATGCAGAATATTTTATTTATGCTAGTAAATTTAAGTACAAAACCATCTGTGAGATGATAATCCAAAACAATACATGAGTAAGAAAAGAGAGTCTGGCAGTACATGTAAAGACAGAAATGAAATTAAATGAAATATAATGACATGAAATGAAATTGCAAAACCCTAAAATTCCTAAAGGAAGTGAAAACAATTAAATGGAATTGGAATGACAGGAATGAGCTGAAACTTCACAAAATGATTTGTCATTGCAATCTCTGGATTTAATTTCTTTTCATGAAATTGAGGATTTTCATCATGGAAGTGTGAGAAATGAACTTGTAAAAATTCGTAGAAATCTAAATAAATGTATATAACAATAATGATATAAAATATAAAGTACAGTATGACACACAAGCCCTTCCCAGATCTAGCCACGAATTCCCACTCAAA